GAATTTAACATGCAAACCAAGCTCAGACCTACAAATTAGTCATTTTTTTAAAAAGTAATTCATCAAATATGATGAACAGTAATTAATATCATAGTATTATTCTCAGCATGAATTTTATTCTAAAGGAGAAATGATATCTCAAATAGAATTCAGGATGGAGTAAAATTTGCTGCAGCTGCTGATAAATTATAGAATCTAATTAGCATTTTTGTGGAAAGTAAAAATATGTTTTCATGATAATTGAAAATGGAAACAAAGTTGAAAATCTAAATGATATAGCTAGGGTAATAAAACGAAAGATATTTCAATCGAAGTATTACAGGAGTAATGCTTTTTCTGTGTTAACTTGAATTTTTTTAAAAAAAAATGTTTTGTGAAATGATGATAAAGACACAAATGAGGCGAGTTACATTTGACATGGGAAAAGTAAGTAACACACAATTAGTTACAAAACTTACAACTAAGGAAAATAATATCGTTTTTTTAACAAAACTTCATAACATATGTTTAATAACAATCTACCAATTTTCTTAACACAATGAATGTATCCCTGAATTTGTCATAAATGCAATATAAGATTGTATGAAATCTCAAAGAGATTAACTCTGATACATACAATATACAACCATATAAATACTTCATCTCCATACAATACATTAATATCAACTATTTACATACAAAATTATTTCAAGACAAAAAATGGTTTTCAAAATTAAATAAAATTTTCCGACATATAATGTATTTTAGGTATTAAGTACAGCATATGTTAGAAATCAAACATCAGTAAAATCATCTTTAAATGTTTCAATGCTACATATAGATACATAAACATCAAATATTTCACCGGTAAGTAAATTACACTGCCAGTAACGATAACTGTTTCACCGGTAAAATATACTGTCAGTAACGATAACTGTTTCACCGGTAAAATATACTGTCAGTAACGATAACTGTTTCACCGGTAAAATATACTGTCAGTAACGATAACTGTTTCAACGGTAAAATATACTGTCAGTAACGATAACTGTTTCACCGGTAAAATATACTGTCAGTAACGATAACTGTTTCACCGGTAAAATATACTGTCAGTAACGATAACTGTTTCACCGGTAAAATACACTGTCAGTAACGATAACTGTTTCATCGGTAAAATATACTGTCAGTAACGATAACTGTTTCACCGGTAAAATATACTGTCACTAACGATAACTGTTTCACCGGTAAATTACACTGCCAGTAACGATAACTGTTTCACCGGTAAAATACACTGTCAGTAACGATAACTGTTTCACCGGTAAAATATACTGTCAGTAACGATAACTGTTTCACCGGTAAAATATACTGTCAGTAACGATAACTGTTTCAACGGTAAAATATACTGCCAGTAACGATAACTGTTTCACCGGTAAAATATACTGTCAGTAACGATAACTGTTTCACCGGTAAAATATACTGTCAGTAACGATAACTGTTTCAACGGTAAAATATACTGTCAGTAACGATAACTGTTTCACCGGTAAAATATACTGTCAGTAACGATAACTGTTTCACAGGTAAAATATACTGTCAGTAACGATAACTGTTTCACCGGTAAAATATAATGTCAGTAATGATAACTGTCTCACCGGTAAAATATACTGTCAGTAATGATAACTGTTTCACCGGTAAAATATACTGTCACTTATGATAACTGTTTCACCGGTAAAATATACTGTCAGTAATGATAACTGTTTCACCGGTAAAATATACTGTCACTAATGATAACTGTTTCACCGGTAAAATATACTGTCACTAATGATAACTGTTTCACTGGTAAAATATACTGTCAGTAACGATAACTGTTTCACCGTTAAAATATATTGTCAGTAATGATAACTGTTTCAATGGTAAAATATACTGTCAGTAATGATAACTGTTTCACCGGTAAAATATATTGTCAGTAATGATAACTGTTTCACTGGTAAAATATATTGTCAGTAACGATAACTGTTTCACCGTTAAAATATATTGTCAGTAATGATAACTGTTTCAATGGTAAAATATACTGTCAGTAATGATAACTGTTTCACCGGTAAAATATATTGTCAGTAATGATAACTGTTTCACCGTTAAAATATATTGTCAGTAATGATAACTGTTTCACCGGTAAAATATATTGTCGGTAATGATAACTGTTTCACCGGTAAAATATACTGTCACTAATGATAACTGTTTCACCGGTAAAATATATTGTCGGTAATGATAACTGTTTCACCGGTAAAATATACTGTCACTAATGATAACTGTTTCACCGGTAAAATATATTGTCAGTAATGATAACTGTTTCACTGGTAAAATATACTGTCAGTAACGATAACTGTTTCACCGGTAAAATATACTGTCACTAATGATAACTGTTTCACCGGTAAGTAAAATATACTTAATACAACAATCACTATTTCACTGGTAAACAAAATATGATGTCAGTTATGATAAATATTTTGCTGATAAGTAAACAATTCTGTGTGAAATTAGATGTATTATGGTGTGGAAACAGATAATTTGAGATTTTCCTTGAATTAAAGGACATGTTTGATATATACAGGTGAAGCAGATTGGTTATGAAAAAAACACCCTAATGTGTATCTATATATTTCTATATATATACGTACAGCTTATATAATACACAACTATGAACAAAACAGTCACAGTAACAAATAACTCACATTTCAGCTAATTCCAACTTGGAATGATTTCATAACAGGAGACATGTGTGGACACAAAGGAAATTTCGTTTCCTGTAAAGCTAGTTTTTGATATATAGACACAGTTTCAAGACTGCCTAAATATTAATTTCCAACACAATTCAAAAGTATCATCATAAAAAATATGAAGCCCACATAGTCCCCCTAACATGCCGACCAATTTTAGTTACAATTGGGTAAATACAAATCTAAACTTTATTTCTTTTACAACAACTGCGAAACAAGTTACTTCAACTTATACTTATTACTATTGTTGGCCCGGATTTAAGTGTGCTAAGGGTCTTATTGTTGGAGGAAACCAGAGTACCCGGGGAAAATCCACTTGTAGGGCAGAAGACCCCTTACTTTTTCACGTCCATTCACGGAATTGAACCCCAGACGACTAGGTGAAAGGCGAGTGCATTACCGCTGCACCACATGACCACCAAGTGATCGCAATGTTGTAATCTAATGAATAGAATTATTATCAATGGCCACAATGAGAAACTTTGTACTGAAGACAACTTTCACTACAGGTAAGTAAATGCTACTATCAACAATTATTGATTCACTTGAATGTATTACCTTCATTAAGCATGTATCCTATAATAACCAGGCTTTTAATTCAACAAGGAAAATATAGTCAATTATTAAACAACAGATCTAAATTGAATCCCTATACAGATTTTATCATATAACAGACATGTAAAATATTAGTCAAAATTTCAAGCTGGTAATTTTCATGGTCAAAATCATCTTGTTTTTATTTTTAAAACAATCAAATAATATTTTAACAAATAAAATTTTACAATGTGGATGTAAAAGGACATTTTTTACACACATCTCGTTACCAGTTATTTTCTCAGGCTAAATGTTCGTGATCAGTTTAAATGTACAGTGAATTAGCAATTGGCTAATAGGATATGTCATTTAGGTTCCAGAATTTATATATGCAAGAAAATCTATTAAATATATTGTTTTGTTTATACCTAGCTTTAGAAAGATGAAAAGAAAGAAAAATAATTTTTTCAAACTTATACTTTTTTGTCTCTCATGTTCTTTAAGCCACTGTTTGAGATGGCCCCCTGGGCTTTTCGGAGAAACACACTTTCTATCCAGTTTACCATAACAAACTCTGGAGATTAAAACATTTAGTTCGGTGTTGACACAAAAGAAAATGTAACATGAAATATGTTTAAGGAACATACCAGCAACATATCATGCCACTAGGGGTTTTAGTTCATGAGATGAAGTCATTTAAAGGTTTTAACAAATTTGACCTCTGTGACCTAGAATATATGTCAAGGTCACTTCTTTTCACAAATTTTGTTGAGCTACATCCTAGAAACCTAGCAGCCAAATATCAAAACATTTGGCTCATTGGTTCGTGAGAAGAAGTTGTTTAAAGAAAATGTTCAGGCCAGGTGAGCTTAGTATTATATAAAAAACAAAATCAATGAAAATAGGAGAGGCCCAAGGGCCTTAACGGTCACCTGAGTTACAATGTTTCTTGTAACATGTCATAGAAGAAATGATTTTGTTAAAAAAAGTAAGATAACTTTAACTACATTGTGCACATTTACAGCTGTCCCATACTAAGGCTTCTAACTAAGTTTGAATTAAATGATATTACACTCAAAAACTGAACTCTTCCATCCAGGAACAGTAGAACATTTAAAAAAAATTTTCAATCTTGAAATTTATAAACATGAAAATTAAATTCAAGATTGAAAATAATACATTAAATGTCTCTTCACAGTAAATTCTTTTCAATATTTGAATAGTAAAACTTTTTATTATGATTATCAATTTCTTTTCATTTTTTCCATTGAATATCATTCAAATTTCATTAATGTGACAGAAGTTTTCATGTTCATAAATGTGAACATGATAAAGGGAATATCTTAAATATCAAAAACTATATCACATATATTTGAAACAATCTAAGTTTAAAATCAATTTGGATTATCACTTGAAAAATGAATATGTTTTTCAGCAATTTTTACAAATTTGCAACAGAATTTTCAACATATCTGTGAATAATCATATTGTACAATTTATATGAATACAAAATCAGACAATTATGTTGTGGTTACATTAAACAAGATTGATAAGTTACTCCAATACATATATATACATGTGGGTATATGATTTTTGATAGATGCATTTTTTTGTTAAAAAAACCTACATACCTTACATCAAGCATTTTGGATTGTGTCAACTCCTGTTTGAATTGAGATTATAATAATGGTACATCATCGCACAGAAAATATCTCCTCAACACACAGGAAGGTCAAAAATTTCTCTAACAAGTGGTAATACATTGGAAAAGTTGTCAGAAAGATCGAAGACTTTCTTCCGTAAATTGTCACTGAACTCCTCCACAATTTGTCGTAAATCAGATATAAGTACAAGCAACGATGGAAAAATTTTGATGTTTTTCGGATGATTATGTTTTAACTCAATGCGCAGAGCCTGCAGTAAGTCCATCTGCATGTTTTCTAAGTGTTTCACGTCAGCGATGTCTGGAGTTTCTGAAAACAGAATATACAGAATGTTTCAGAAGTGATGATTAACAGTATGACTATGTATCCTACATTTCACAGGGCTGGAAAAACCTCATGAATGAATAATGCCAATACCATCTTGTCCTCTGGTCATAATTTTAAACAAGCCAAGGTACTAAAATGTTACCTGATAAATCTCGACAAAATTGAACCTACAAAGAGCTGTAACACTGTAGGTGAAATCTGATTGGCCCCATCGTTAATCTTATCAGAGATTTTAATGATATAAGGCTACAAACCAAATTTCATTAATAATCTGTCCCTATTTACCGTAATTATTATGTTTCCAGTCCAATGCAACAAGTGGCTCATAGGGCCTGTATTATTCACTTGGATCTTTAAGCCCAGCAATGTTATATAAGCCTCAAATATTTCCAAATTAATGCTCGGTCAATTATCCTCCTTGGTTGGGGCAAAACCAATGTGTAGATTATTATATCATCACTGTCTTTCTCGTTTGATTCCCAGTAAGTTTATTTGGTTACTGGTTGGTATCTCAACTATATACCAGATACTAGAGGGATCTTGGTGCCCACCATTGTTTGATCTTGCTTTTTGAAAGTTGGATCTTTTCCCTTCTTTTCTCTTCTCTGTTGTAGCTCTTAATGATAAGAAATTAAAATTGAAATAGCGATGATAATCTTCATTTTCCACATTCAAAATGGTTGTCTGGAAGCCATTTTGTTTCTTCTGATCAGTTCCAAAATCAAACAGGCACAAGTAGAGACCAAAGAGAACATACATATGAAATTTGAAAGAGATCCATCAAGTTCTTCTCAGGAAATAGCGATAAAAACTTTTCAAAGTCAAATCCAAGATGGCTGCCTTTCGGCCATTTGGTTTTTCTGATCAGTGCCAAAATTACATGGGCACAACTGGGCACACCTAGAGACCAAGGGAAATCTACATATGAAATTTGAGAAAGATCCATCTCTTACTTTTCAAGAAATAACAAAACAAAAATTGTTTATGGATGGCGGACGACGGAAGGACGGACGGATGGACCAGAGATGCAGAGTGATTTGATGATGATGAATAGCTGATTTCACTTGTATACAGCCAATGGGTTATGTTACCTGTGTAATATTACCTGTAGAAAAGGTATACAGGTGTCTCCAAGGTAGTGAGTATACATAAAATACATGAAGAGTGTTTGTCTTATGTAGTGTCTGTGTTTATGTGTTAAATGTACATGTTTTGGTGTGTCAGGTGTCCAGAGCAATGATTGGGTGCTGTTGTGTACCTTAGACTGAGTTCCCGTTTTCATTGGATGTAGGTAAGAGTGTATACATGTTTTGCATGTCCCTTCCATGCACTCAGGAGACTCGGACGAACTTACAGGGATGTACATTTCTTACGGCATCTTATGGTCATTAATCGCAAAAATGCCTTTGCAGTGTGGATAATACCCAGCTGTGTTGGGGTAAGTATGTCCTTACTTAACATCATTCCTGAAGTTACCTTTTTAAATGTTTATGAAGTATATTACCATATTCTGACCAATCAGAAGATTATGAAATATGGATAATGTGAAAACTAAAATAGAGGTCAATGCCTTTGCTAGAATTTGAGGTTGGGACTTCTGACTTACTGTAATCATACCTTCAACCAAATGAGCAAAAGAGAACCTCATTTTAGCAGTGTTGTGTTTTGCAGCTTGTTTTGCCGGGGTGATGCGTACTTACAAAAATGGTTGTAAAAATAATTTGTCTTTGATGGTAAAAGGAGTATTGGTTATAATCAGCAAAAGATTTACAGAGCTGACTGACGATCGGAGGAAAGACAATCAAGGTAGATAGAAGATATGATTACATTTATGAAACTGCTCCACTGAAACTGACAAAGGACGAGAAAAAACAAAATACTGGAAACTATTTTAGTCAACATACCTGCAATGAGCACCACAGCACAGAACAGGGCTAGCTCACCCCTCTGTAACTGAAGTTTTGTTATTCTGTCAGCTACTCGGAGATGGTGGCTTAGTAATAGAGAGGCCTCCGTACAGGAATGGACTGCTGACCGATGAATTGACATATCTCCCTGAGATTCTCGCAGGGTTACACTGTCACAATCTGCAATGTCATGCATCTGTAACACAGAAATCCTCATATGGATTACAGTCAACATCAGTAACAATGTTTTATGGATATCCAAGTCATCAATCTTCTCTTAAATATCGTCTTTTTTATCTTATATACGAGGAAGAATTTTACGCAAGACCTTTTTGTAATATTCACAAATAAATCTGCATCATTTCCAATACATGGCAACAGTCTTTAAAAGAAAGTCATATTCAAACCATTACATATATATGTTAAGGAAAACACCATTTGACCCAGAGCTCCAGGGCGGAGACAGTAGGATCATCACGTCTACAACCAGGTACTAGACATTTCAACATCACATGTCAAACACAAGATTGCCATCAAAGTGTTACACATTCACTAACAAGAGGTCAAAGGGTCGTAATGGTTACCTGAGTTACAATGCAATACGTCATAGAAATAATCTTGTTTCTAAAACATTGTTACATATAATGCAAATGTAAAATGTGCTTGACATTAACTGCAATCCCATGCTAAGTCTTTTAAACAAGCTTAAATTAAAAGAAATTGCACTCAAAAAATGTAATTTTCTTTATAAATCTCTTCCTTTCATAACCAGTATTTAGTTATATCTATAATATATGGGTATTGAGAATATCTTTGAAATTTGAGACAATATGGGAACTGAGAATATCTTTGAGACTTGAGACAATGTAACTCCTTTTGGCCTCACCCACCAGCCCCTTGAGGGGTACAGCCTGGATCAGTATGTGCATATCATTACAAAGTAATCTTACATTAATAATTTTAACCAAGTTTAAACTTTTTCCGACAGAAAATGAACAAACTATTCTCAAAAATGTGATTTTTCTACATAAATTGTAATGAACTTTATCCTCACCCCAGGGGAAAATATGAGATCCTGGGGTCACAAAATTTACAATTTTTTTTTAAATCAGCATAAGAGGAGCATTTGGTTCTACCATATCTGGGTAATGATAAGAATATCTTTGACACAATGGATGACCTTTTCCCTTGCTTTACAATTAGGTTAAAATATGCATCAATCTGAAGTCATTGTGCCTGAACAAAATGGTAAAAAGTTTGGAAAAATAATCATCTTGCACAATATTCTAATTGCAAAAGGTAAATTTGGATTGATATGGCTGGGATTTAAACTTTATATTCGTAGTTTGAAGCCACACAAAAATTCCTGGAAAACTGAGTATGTATGGACATGCAGACAGGAGAGTAACACTATATGCCCCCTACTTCATGATAGGGGCATAATGAAAGTGCTGCATATGTTCAATATATGTGATTGACAGTTGTAACGGTTCATAGTGCTATAATTTGACTGCATGTGTATAGCAGGGCTCTCGATCTGCCAGATTTGGGGCCGAATTCCCAATGCAAAATAGTATCTTTATTCCCAATTTAGACCCGAAGTTTTCCCAATTCTAAGGAAAACACCATTATTTTCCCCAATTCTAAGGGCCCCCGAGCCCCAGCCCCAAAATGGGGTGTGAGAGCCCTGTATAGTCTCAACTCACCATGATTACTGAGACAGCCAATGTGCCCTGTTTCATGAGGCTGATCTGGTCGTTTAGAGGTAGACATGTGAAGCCAGGGATTCTTTTGGCAAACTTAACAGAAGCCTGCATCAGAGGGACAATCATTTTCTGGTAGCAGGTAAAAACACCTTGGTTATGGAAATCTTCTGATGTCATCAAGTTCACTATGTCAGTTTTGTTGTCAAATTTGGTTGTGACTTTCTGAAAATGGTAAGAAAGATTGAATTGAATATTATTTCAGTGTGTGTGTACCTCATTACTGACAGCGTCATTTATCAACACCTGTATAGAATCAATAACTGAGGCAATGCGCCATCTAATGAAACTTATTTACAGCTCATTATAATATCCACCTCATTATAATATCCACCCCATGAAAATATACACCTCATTATAATATTCACCTCATTATAATATCTACCTCATTATAACATCCACCTCATGAAAATATTCACCTCATTATAATATTCATCTCATTATAATATCCACCTCATTATAATACCCACCTAATTAAAATATTCACCTCATTATAATATCCACCGCATTATAATATCTACCTCATTATAATATCCACCTCATTATAATATCTACCTCATTATAATATCCACCTCATGAAAATATACACCTCATTATAATATCCACCTCATTATAATATCTACCTCATTATAACATCCACCTCATGAAAATATACACCTCATTATAATATTCACCTCATTATAATATCTACCTCATCATAATACCCAACTCATGATAATATCTACCTTATTATAATATCCACTGCATTATAGTACCCACCTCATTAAAATATTCACCTCATTATAATATTCATCTCATTATAATATCCACCTCATTATAATATCTACCTCATCATAATATCCTCCTCATTTTAATATCTATATCATTATAATATCCTCCTCATCAAATATCCACCCCTTTTAATATCCTGTGAATCTTTGATGAATGCAATGACACCTGACGATGCATTATTCCTGTAAATCAGTTTTCAGTGGGTCACATAGATAAATTAGTGGTGTGACAGATATATAACATATAAACACAGAAACTGGGCCTTCTCAAAATGATAGCTAGAATAATTGACATAATTGCGCTTCTTAATTTTCCATATATGTTAATTGGATGTAAATGATCAAAATAACCCCTTTTACAAGACATATCTCTAAAACGACTATTCAGGTACAAACACCCAGTGACCCTGACCGTTTCCGGGAAATAATTACCAAACAAACTGCCAAGGTGAAAGGTTTATTGCTTCATGAATAGCCAGTCAGGGTCATTTGAATTTGGGTATTCTTGCCGGTAAATATCTCACTGAACAACATGCAGGAGATCTGCCACATGCTGTCCAAAGCAAACTAAGTTGTAGTGTTGGGGAAGGACACCTCAAAGACAATTAACATAAGATAATGGTCTGTGATCTCAGCTTCCTGTGATGTAAACCATCACGAGAATGAACCAGGAAATCATCAAATATTTTCAGGTCATGGTCTTAGTTTTTCCCCGGAGGTCGTAAAGTTTGATGTTCTACCGATATCTAACCCTGGTCTAAGTTTTTCCCCGGAGGTCGTGAAGTTTGATGTTCTACCGATATCTAATCCCGGTCTAAGATCTTCCCCAGAGGTCGTAAAGTTTGATGTTATACCGATATCTAACCCCAGTCTAAGATCTTCCCCTGAGGTCATAAAGTTTGATGTTCTACAGATATCTAACCCCGGTCTGAGATCTTTCCCTGAGGTCGTAAAGTTTGATGTTCTACCGATATCTAACCCTGGTCTAAGATCTTCCCCTGAGGTCGTAAAGTTTGATGTTCTACCGATATCTAACTCCGGTCTAAGATCTTCCCCTGAGGTCGTAAAGTTTGATGTTCTACCGATATCTAACCCCGGTCTGAGATCTTTCCCTGAGGTCATAAAGATTGATGTTCTACCAATATCTAACCCCGGTCTAAGATCTTTCCCTGAGGTTGTAAAGTTTGATGTTCTACAGATATCTAACCCCGGTCTGAGATCTTTCCCTGAGGTTGTAAAGTCTGATGTTCTACCAATATCTAACCCTGGTCTAAGATCTTCCCCGGAGGTCGTAAAGTCTGATGTTCTACCAATATCTAACCCTGGTCTAAGATCTTCCCCTGAGGTTGTAAAGTTTGATGTTCTACCGATATCTAACCCCGGTCTAAGATCTTTCCCTGAGGTCGTAAAGTTTGATGTTCTACCAATATCTTACCCTGGTCTAAGATCTTCCCCTGAGGTCGTAAAGTTTGATGTTCTACCGATATCTTACCCTGGTCTGAGATCTTTCCCTGAGGTCGTAAAGTTTGATGTTCTACCGATATCTAACCTCGGTCTGAGATCTTTCCCTAAGGTCGTAAAGTTTGATGTTGTACCGATATCTAACCCTGGTCTAAGATCTTCCCCTGAGGTCGTAAAGTTTAATGTTCTACCGATATCTTACCCTGGTCTAAGATCTTCCCCGGAGGTCGTAAAATTTGATGTTCTACCGATATCTAACCCCGGTCTAAGATCTTTCCCTGAGGTCGTAAAGTTTGATGTTCTACAGATATCTAACCCCGGTCTGAGATCTTTCCCTGAGGTTGTAAAGTCTGATGTTCTACCAATATCTAACCCTGGTCTAAGATCTTCCCTGGAGGTCGTAAAGTCTGATGTTCTACCAATATCTAATCCTGGTCTAAGATCTTCCCCTGAGGTCGTAAAGTTTGATGTTCTACCAATATCTAACCCTGGTCTAAGATCTTCCCCTGAGGTTGTAAAGTTTGATGTTCTACCGATATCTAACCCCGGTCTGAGATCTTTCCCTGAGGTCGTAAAGTTTGATGTTCTACCAATATCTAACCCCGTTCTAAGATCTTCCCCTGAGGTCGTAAAGTCTGATGTTCTACCAATATCTAACCCTGGTCTAAGATCTTCCCCTGAGGTCGTAAAGTTTGATGTTCTACCGATATCTAACCCCGGTCTAAGATCTTTCCCTGAGGTCGTAAAGTTTGATGTTCTACCAATATCTTACCCTGGTCTAAGATCTTCCCCTGAGGTCGTAAAGTTTGATGTTCTACCGATATCTTACCCTGGTCTGAGATCTTTCCCTGAGGTCGTAAAGTTTGATGTTCTACCAATATCTAACCCTGGTCTAAGATCTTCCCTGGAGGTCGTAAAGTCTGATGTTCTACCAATATCTAACCCTGGTCTAAGATCTTCCCCTGAGGTCGTAAAGTTTGATGTTCTACCAATATCTAACCCTGGTCTAAGATCTTCCCCTGAGGTTGTAAAGTTTGATGTTCTACCGATATCTAACCCCGGTCTGAGATCTTTCCCTGAGGTCGTAAAGTTTGATGTTCTACCAATATCTAACCCCGTTCTAAGATCTTCCCCTGAGGTCGTAAAGTCTGATGTTCTACCAATATCTAACCCTGGTCTAAGATCTTCCCCTGAGGTCGTAAAGTTTGATGTTCTACCGATATCTAACCCCGGTCTAAGATCTTTCCCTGAGGTCGTAAAGTTTGATGTTCTACCAATATCTTACCCTGGTCTAAGATCTTCCCCTGAGGTCGTAAAGTTTGATGTTCTACCGATATCTTACCCTGGTCTGAGATCTTTCCCTGAGGTCGTAAAGTTTGATGTTCTACCGATATCTAACCCCGGTCTGAGATCTTTCCCTAAGGTCGTAAAGTTTGATGTTGTACCGATATCTAACCCTGGTCTAAGATCTTCCCCTGAGGTCGTAAAGTCTGATGTTCTACCAATATCTAACCCTGGTCTAAGATCTTCCCCTGAGGTCGTAAAGTCTGATGTTCTACCGATATCTATCCCTGGTCTAAGATCTTCCCCTGAGGTCGTAAAGTCTGATGTTCAAAGCATGAAATATGGCAAAAACATGCTTTGGACCATAATTAGGCGGTATGTTTGTTTTTTTCAATATGGAAGGAGTTTTTCAGCTAAAATTAGCTATATTTGGTATACATAATTACTATGGTTTTTCTTTACTGATGTTCTGAATAAATATATACTCTCAGGGGTTTTATTTTTTTAATTCAAATTGGTTGTAAAGTGACTTTCTTGATTTTGTCAGTGAAACAATAAAAGACAAAAGCTTGTTATCAAAATGCATCATTACTTTGCATTTAGATTTTTTTTCTATTAGGCCACGTCCCTCTAGCCCCTGGGGGCAGAGGCCTACTGTTTATACAAAACTAATTTCCCTTCAATCAAGCATGCTTCAGACCAATTTTGGACAATATCCTGCCATTCCAGAAGAACATGATATATTTTAAAGAAATTGATAGATTTTCTCTATCGGGCCCTGCCCTTCAGGCCCTAGGGAGGCTAGACCCATCATTTATACAAAATTAGTTCTCCTCTTCCCAAGAATGCCTCAGACCAAATTTGAATAAAATCTGCTCAGTCATTCCTGAATAGCAATATATTGTAAAAGTTGACAGGCACCTAATGCTGCAATATCCCTATAGCTCACTTAGCCCTTCAGGCCAGGTGAGCGAAAAAGGAATTAATATTAACCATTTGTTATATCTCTTTTAATTGAATATAATTTCACTTTTGAGAAAGGATTACATTTTTCAAGTTTTAAAACTTCCACACCTAGAAAATGTTACATTTTCTACTCAGTGGTTGGGACATTTCAAGAGAATCACAATCCACTGAATTTCAGGATTTCAATTTGATAACGGCACCATAAATCTATCATTGTAATAAATGTTATAACCTTGGTAAGTGGCCTTCCTGATCAGGTACAGATTTAGAATTAATTACGTGGTTAACCAACATGGTGCTATGCAATGTATTGAAAGGTGACCCGACCTCTCACCTTATTCAATACGACCAATCCCCAGGAACAATACGCCATACAAACTGAAGAATACCGAGACGAAATGTTAACGACACCAAAAACCACTAAATCTTAAGCACTGAATGTCACTGAATTTTGCACAGGAGGACTTCAAAGAAACTTAATGCAGATCAATATGGTGCTGAACTCGCAAACACACAGAACAAGGTGACATTGTAAGTGTCTGACAGTTTGTTATAAAAAGTTATCCCTCTTGTCCGTCATTGTGGCAATCTGATGGCAGGCTGAGGCAGTATACACCTGAACTCTATACAGCAACTTTATGAATCCTGTCACCTGTCTTCTAAGTGATGTTATGGTGGCCTGATCTACTAATTCATTCCACGATCCCCCAAATTGCTCATGAATAAATTGTCCTCACAGTTAATGATTCAAACTTTGTATTTTTTTTGGCAGGTTAGCTTACAAATATCTATTAATGAAGAACTCCGTTTGAAGTATGTCTGTACCAACTTTCACGCCTTTTATCATGATTTGAATTTTTTTTTCAGTTTTTTCATCCCCTACATGGACTGTCAGTCAAACCTAAAAATATATGGAATAAACTATTTTTGAATATGTTTTACTTACCAGTTCTTTTCCATTTTTGTTCTTGTCAGTCATTAGGTTTGGTTCTCCAAAGAAATCTCTGAATGAAGCCTTTATATGATCTGACAAGGCCCTTAGCTCTACTATCCTCTGACAGCTGTTTTTTGAAAGTTCTTCTTTATCGGCAACAAGTTTCTCTCTTTCAACTTTTGGCATTCTTCCAAAACGCACCGCTGCCAATAACAAGAAAATGTGATGAAGATCATGTACAAATACACTGCTTGAAATGAACATACAAAACTCACATGCTGGTGTCAAACTGTTACCTTTATATCAGAAATTTTTTCTCATTTAAAAAAAAAAAAATAAATGTACCTAAGGCCAAAAGATGTTTAATACGTGCATTCTGAGCTATAAACTGATATGATAAAAATAACTAAAACTATAACAGCAATATTGGTGGACATTTTTCCAAGACCTCTCTGTTCTTGGTCAGATATGTCAGAAGCCAAGGTCAAAGATAACATTACCCCTTGCAGATGAAAGTCTTTACAAATCAATTGTTTGAGCTTAAAGTCCAAAACACCTCAAGAATTTATGATTTAGAATTTCCCTCAACATGTACAATTCACTTGTCATTAGCCCATACTTTCTAAGAGCACATATTGACATCAAAACTACTTCATGTCCTGCCATTAATGAATTTCGACATTGTTTAAGTATAAAAAACTAGAAGTGTCATCCTGAGGATAACTTACATCCCCCCCCCCCCATATGTAAAGACATTATACACCAAATATGGTCAAAACTCCAAACAAAAGAAGTAAAAAAACAGTTGACAATCAATTGTTGGCACTCCTTCATATCTATACACAAATTTTGGTAAAAATCAGCCAAAATCCAAATTTCAACCAAAAAGAGGACAGAATCCCCGACTGCCTCTATAAACCTAATTGGACCAAACTTTTAACCAATCAGAGGCCACCATTTGCCACTGCATGGTTTTCATGGCAATGAAATGCATACAGTAAGTAATATTTGGCATTCTCTTCTATCCCTATTTACTGAATTCGATCGAAATCAGAGACCAGGATTTTGTTACCATATTCACTATTTCTGAAACACCTAATGTATCCTAGTAAAGGTTTTTACTAGTTATACCATTTGAACATTGTCAAATAATAAAATTTATTGAATGACCCAGAAGTAACTACCATTTATCTTAAACCTCTTTCATAATTAATGGTTACCATCACAAACAAACTTTTAGCACTTTTACATATGGTCCTTTTTATTGATATAAAGTTTCGTTGGAATCGGTTCACTGGTTAGGAGGAAACCTTCAGACAATATTTGCTGACTTAAGACTTCCAGACAGACAGGAGGATTCCTGTTTATTCACCCATCCATCAAACTTTGTGGGGCATGATAACCACATCAATAATTTTATAAACATTAACTTTGATTTAATTTATAGAGTGAATTCTGTTTGCATTTAAAATCTCCATTATTACATAAATTTTGCACACAGTGCTTCAAAATATGTGTATACAATATCTAATTATTTCACAAGGACATGATTAATTAATTTTGTCCCTCTGTTTCCTCGATCTTATGATCGCGTGGACATGTATTAATATCCTTTTTAAGATCATGATGGTGACCTGATTTTATATGAACCTGACCTAATAAATTTCACAATGGTATGCCATATACCAGTCCTAAATTGTCACCCAGGTGATTCTTAATTATTTTGACAGGTGCCAGCAAGTAATATCTATTAAAACAGGTATTTACATAGTCAATGGTAAGATTATGTCAACATCAACGGTTAATATATCTAAAACAAGCATCCTAAGCTCATGGATGAAGCTAAGTCATTTATCATTTTATGAGCACAGCGATTTACATATTAATTGGTTGGTACCAATAAAAAGTGAAGGTGGCACCTAGAATAAAAGCAAGGTACTGATTGTCATCAAAACATTTATTCTGTTGATTTAAGAATAGGTACATCAATTAGTTATGGTAAATTTAATCTTACTTGACAAGTTTTGATATAAAGTACACAGTATAAAAATTGATATGAACTGTTTTAGAACTGTTTTTTACTACTATTTGAGTGTCTGATTTTTTGCTTTTTTTCGACATGAGACAATTTAATGGTAAAAATTATTATTTACAAATTTTGAAGAAGAGAATATCAATAATATTATGTATTTTCGATTTTTGCTTTGAATCAAGACCATGGCAAAATTTGATATAACTAAAAATAAATATTCATTAAAGCCCAAGGAGTCATGAAAGTTACAATTTTGATAAAGCACTGCAAGACACTTCTTCAATGCGGAGTATTTGGTTTTACATTAACTGGGTGTTGAGAAGAAGATTTTTGAAATTTTGTCAGTCCATTTGACCCATTTTGTGGCCCTGTCCAACAGCCCCTGAGGGTCAACTGAGGTCAATATGTGCATCCAATCAAACTGTCATCTTATACTAATAATTCTTACCAAGTATGAACTACTTCCAACAGAAAATAAACCAATTATGTTAGAAACAAGTCATTTTCCTATATAAACTATTGTAAAGTTTACCCCCTCCCCAAGTGAAAATGTGAGACCCTGGGATCATGAATGTTACATTTTGGTTAAACCTCTGAAGGCATTTCCATCCATAAAGAATATTTGATTCTACCATATCTGGAATTTGAGAAGATTTTTCAAGTTTCCATGAATTTGGCCCCTTTCTGGCCCCACCCCCTCAGGCCCCTGTGGGTTGAGGACCCATATAATTTACACTTTTGGTGCCTCTTTAGTCATGGAAGATTTTTGTGAAATTTCATTGAAGTTGATTTCAGAGTTTTCCAAGATGTCAAAAATGTAAAAAGTTTATGACGCATTATGCTGGATAAAAGGGGATTACAACAGGTTACCCTAAGTCAATTGTACACCCACGGTGAAGTGAAGTTACCCTAGTGTAGTGGGAAGGTGGGGGTTCTTTAAACGTATTATCTTTTCCCTTCTCCTTTTCTCCTTTCTTTTTGCTCATTATTATACAAGATTTGAAAATTAAGAATTATAGTGAAAATGTTTTAATTGTCAAATCCAAGACTGTTTTCTAATCAGTACCAAATTAAACACATAAATGGGGACCTAGCAAACCAAGGCAAACCAAGGGAAAATTTTAGAATGATCCATCAAATCTCTCTACAAAAATAGCGATAGCAAATCGCTAATGCCACAAAATTGCCAACATTTAGTTTTCAGATTTTGCCATATAGTATCTCTTCATAACCACTTCAAAATTAAGGGTGGCAGGACGGTTAAAAATTGGTGGCAAAAATGTCTCATGATGCATTGCTAAGCCTATGTGATTTGTCTAATCACCCTGTACAGAATCATTTAAAAATCTACACAGGAAAATAGTCCTTATTTTTATGGAGGTTGAATCTTTCATTTTCATAATATGCTCTAGAAACAATATTACTGTTACTCACATATTTCCTCAAATTTGGGAATTTGAAATAGGTACATGCGGTCAACAACCTGCTGTTGTAGGGTAATGAAGAACTGGAACTTGCCTCAACTTAAGATTAATTGTTTGAGACTGTCTGATCAAAAAATGGGTGTTTTTAACAAGTCTCAAGGTTCGGCTAGATTGACAGTTGTATATCTGGCAGTGACATGTTACGCTTTTACTTGAGACAATAAACTCATTTGTTGACCTGAATAAATTAAGGTGTCTGAATATAGAAAAATCTGTCATTCATTTCTCCATCTAAAATTTTTCAAGGTGACTTTTATCACATAAGTTGAAATTAACCCTGAGTTAGATACATATACACCTAGGAACAGTTCAACACATTTTTTCCTCTAAATATTGACAAAATAGAAGGAAAATGTTATTTTTCTGGAAAGCAAGACATGCCAACAGTTATTCAATCAAAATTTAATCCTTCTTTCTTTTGTCTAAGTTATAACATTCAATAATAATTCATTGTTTGTGCAATATTGAATCAGGCTAGCACTTAAACATTATCAAATCTCCAGCTGGAACATCCAGTTTATCTAAGTCACTTTGACAACCTCCAATGTCAAATCTCCAGCTTTAGACTGGAACATCCAGTTTATCTATGTCACTTTGACAACCTCCACTGTCAAATCTCCAGCTTTAGACTGGAACATCCAGTTTATCTAAGTCACTTTGACAACCTCCACTATCAAATCTCCAGCTTTAGACTGGAACATCCAGTTTATCTAAGTCACTTTGACAACCTCCATTATCAAATCTCCAGCTTTAGACTGGAACATCCAATTTATCTATGTCACTTTGACAACCTCCACTATCAAATCTCCAGCTTTAGACTGGAACATCCAGTTTATCTATGTCACTTTGACAACCTCCACTATCAAATCTCCAGCTTTAGACTGGAACATCCAATTTATCTGTCACTTTGACAACCTCCATTATCAAATCTCCAGCTTTAGACTGGAACATCCAGTTTATCTAAGTCACTTTGACAACCTCCACTATCAAATCTCCAGCTTTAGACTGGAACATCCAGTTTATCTAAGTCACTTTGACAACCTCCACTATCAAATCTCCAGCTTTAGACTGGAACATCCAGTTTATCTAAGTCACTTTGACAACCTCCACTATCAAATCTCCAGCTTTAGACTGGAACATCCAGTTTATCTAAGTCACTTTGACAACCTCCACTGTCAAATCTCCAGCTTTAGACTGGAACATCCACTTTATCTAAGTCACTTTGACAACCTCCACTGTCAAATCTCCAGCTTTAGACTGGAACATCCAGTTTATCTAAGTCACTTTGACAACCTCCACTGTCAAATCTCCAGCTTTAGACTGGAACATCCAGTTTATCTAAGTCACTTTGACAACCTCCACTGTCAAATCTCCAGCTTTAGACTGGAACATCCAGTTTATCTAAGTCACTTTGACAACCTCCACTGTCAAATCTCCAGCTTTAGACTGGAACATCCAGTTTATCTAAGTCACTTTGACAACCTCCACTATCAAATCTCCAGCTTTAGACTTCAACATCCAGTTTATCTAAGTCACTTTGACAACCTCCACTATCAAATCTCCAGCTTTAGACTGGAACATCCAGTTTATCTAAGTCACTTTGACAACCTCCACTATCAAATCTCCAGCTTTAGACTGGAACATCCAGTTTATCTAAGTCACTTTGACAACCTCCACTATCAAATCT